ACAAGCTTTGCAAGAGGGAGATCCCTCCATACACGTGTATGGAGGGGAGCAAAAAGCAAGACAGCTGTCTTCAAATATCTGCAAAAGCAGATGAACAGCAATCGGCCGGCAAAAAATGCCATCTTGGCCAAACAAAGTGCCGACCGGCACAAAATAGTGCGGACCGGCAACAAAGAGTGCCGGCCGGCAAACTATATTGCCGGTGGCAGCAAAAACCAGCCGGTGGCATCTAGCCACTGCCGGTGAAGGGTGGGGATGCAGAGTATTCCTGCAGAACCTGCAACTCACAGCAGCAGAGGACAGAACTTGCATGGCAATACAATTCAAACAATGTATGCACCAATCATGTCCCCTATCATGTTTGTGACTCAAAAGGCATGTGTCTCGATTCTCGGACCACCAATCACGCATTTCAATGCATGATGGCCCAAAGAACCAAGTATGCAACTTTGATTTCAAATGTAATGCAAATCAATCAAACAAACTCCCAATCCCTATCACCCAAATCAAGGGACAAGGAATGCATGTTGATGCAATGCAACCTAAGCATGTTATCTATCATTATTTTCTGAATACCAACACGTGGCATGGTGACGCCGACGTGTCAGCCGAGGTGCCACGTGTCGTGGTAGTTAAGCCGAGATGATCTCGGAGTTGCCGAGGTTATCCCCGAAGATATCGGAATCCGAGATAAGCAGATAAGGGACAAGAGTCCTAAGGCAAAGAGGAGACTTAACCAAGATAAGGATAAAGCTCTTCGGGAGTTTATCTTTATCTCTTAAAGAGTCCAAAGTAAGCACTAAATTAGAGTTCATAGAAGTCATACTTCTAGTGGGACTTGGATTTAGTATATTATAAAAGAGAGGCACCCCCGTGGGTCTAAGGTATGCAATTTATGTTTTGAGTATTAAGTTTTGCACTTGATTATCTTTGAGAGATATACTGACTTGATCGTCGGAGTGCCCCCGGGTGGAAGAACCACCGCCGGAGCCTTTTCTTTCTGTTTCAGGTTGCTGAAGCCATCTATTCTGCCTGTGCTCTCCAGTTGATCACTAAGCAAGCAGTGTGGTCAGATTTTCACCCACACACTACTGCTCCCCTCCCTGAACAAAATCAACAATTCAAGGACTTTTCGGGGGTCAATTGGCTTTGGTTTCTCTGATTCAATTACTTCTACTACAGTTGGCTAGGGTTTTGGCCGTGGCAAACAATGACATGGAGGGTAGGCGGCGGCGGGAGATGATAGGAATGGCTAGGATTACAAGGTTAAAGATGAGATTAAAAATGGTACTTCACGGTTGGACAAAATTAGAATTTAAAAAAAATAAAAGAGATGGAGGTCCAAAGAAGAAAAGTAAGTGCTAATAACAGCACTCTATTATTTTTCCATCTATGTAACTAATAAATTATTGATGAAAATGAGCTAAACATTATGTAAAATAAAACATTAATGCTGTGTTTGGTTGGAGGATTTGGAGAAGGATTTGGAAAGGGAAAGGGAAAATGTGTGTCAAACTATGTGAAATATAGGCATGATTTATTCACATTTCACCTACCTTTTTCATCCCCTTTCCAAATCCCTCCTCAAATTCCTCCCCAAATCCCTCAACCAAACACAGCATAAGAGAATCCAATATATTATGCAAAAACCATGCAGCTAGCTAGATTTTCTCCCAACTTCAAGGGAGGTCAGTGTAATTTACGCAAATAAAAACATACTTTATCTTTGGTATGGATATCTGAATGCAGGCCATCCAAACCATCTTCGCTAAACCATTAGAACCTCATTTGACAATGAAAAGGCCAAAACTGAACCCCAAAAAACACTAGTGAAAAGAGAACATGGAAACTCATACGTTCACCACCAATTTCTTTCACTTAACTGGGCAGAGAGCATCACAGATCAATAATTGTCTTGGCAAAAGCCAAACCATCCCAAGAGTGTAATATATATGATGAAGATTGATAAGACAACATTAGTCTGTGCTAAGAAAATTTAACCAAACTAGAACCTCTTAATATAAGCATGCTGAAAGAATTCCATTGCCCAGAAACTAACCTACCAAAATCTAAATATGAAGAAACTATAGAACTCTCCGTGGCGACTTGAATTGATTAATTGCAAGCAACTCAAAAATACAAATGTTCGAGTATCAGTTGATCGCATCAACTAATGATGCAAGTTAAACTGTGCATGGCTAGCACTCGGTTTCCTTGCATAGGGTTACATGGTTAAAGAGGAGGTTGGTGTAGGTGATTAAGAAGATTCCAGTTCAAAGATCATGACTGCTAACTCAGAAGGATCCTCATTCCATCACATGATCAAGAAACATCCCTATTCTGATGATAAAGGCATACATATATATATATATATATATACACCTTGTATAAATGATCCTCATTCCGCCAAAATGTGCGATTATACCTGCCGAGTCTGGGAAGGATCCTCATTTCACCACGTAGGATGATTAAGGAGCTTTATTCAGCCCTGCCCAATGTAAGCCACATTGTATCATATGCTATTGCCCAGTTGCTTTCGTCAAAAAAGTGTAGTTCAACCTGCAGATAATTAAACAAAAAAAACAACCAACCAGTTTAAATTAAACAGAATCATGTAACTATAAGATATTTCGCAATAAGAAAAGTCAACCATCTCAGATGGTTCAATTGTAACTTAATTGACAGATAAATCATCTGATAAGTGGCTTCATAGGGGCCACCGATGTAGAAGTGGATGCTACATTGGAGATGGGTGCAGTGAGCTCGATAGGCTTTATTCACGTAGAAAAGGAGAGACAAGTATCAGACATGAACAAACACAATATGTTTAGCTAACAATTAGCTACCAGATTTGGTAACAGGTGAGATTTGTTATTCCCTGAAGAAGAATATAGAGATTAAAAAAGCCTACAAAATTATATCTAGATGACACAAGATATGCAACACAGATATGTACTGAAAACTACACCGTGCAAAGTAGTTCATTGATCAACTGCAAGGGGGTTGAGGGGTCAAAGAAGAGTTCAAATTTCGTAGATTAATACTACTGAAATTTCTTTTATTTTTTCTTTTTCTTTTTCTTTTTGCAGGGGTGTGTAAGGGGGTAAAATTTACACTAACCTCACTTGATATTTGGAAAAAATACAGTTAGCCACACATTTTTTACATAATAACACCGATCTCTCTTAATGGTGGATTTACAGAAAAAGAGAGGAAGGGGAAGGTTTGTGTAATGATGTCGAGATTGTAGGACTGAGTATTTTCTCCAAATCTCAAAGGACGTCAGTGTAATTTATCCTCTTTTTTTGTGTAACCTGGAATTTGAGGTTAATGAATGCATCCAAAATCATCAGGGACACACAATTAAACAGAAACCAAAGCAGTATGAACCCATCAAGGAATTTACAGGCACGTATTAAAGTATAGAAAATCAGGAACATAAAATATAAATAAATAAATGGTGTGCACATGTTAAGGTGAAAGGAGTTATCTGACAAGACCTCAAGCTCCTCCAAGCCTCCATTCTACAAGAACTTCGAGGAAGAACCAACCCCTTTCCCCGCTTCTGCAACGCCTTCTTCTTCTTTGGCTGTCAAAGACCGCACAGGGCCGACTTTCATGGTCCCACCAAAATCATGAACTTGATTAGTCAATCCTGCATCATTTTCAAGATCATCAAGTTCTTTCAAAGGACTATGATGACAGCCAACAAACGATCCACTGGGTTGCTCCGTGTTAAGCTGCTTCTCCCCTGCGCTTAATGAAACACTCGAAGGAGATAAAGGCCCAGCGGGTGGCTGCATCTAACAGATCCTTCAACTTCCTGATCACGGCACAAGATATTCTCGGGACATCTTGCATTATTTGAGATGTTCTCTACATCAGCTTCAAATCGTTCGTTTGCCATTGTTTCAACAGGCAAACCTGCATGATCAGTCTCTACTGCATGACATTGGGGTCCCCTTGAGTTAGTCCCCGAATCAACTTCATCCAATTTTATCTTCTTCCCATTCATTGCAGCATCTGGAGAACGATGCAGGACAGCACTGAAAGAGCTGTTCTGGGGCAGTGAAAGTACCCATGAACATTGTTTAGGCTGTTTAAAGTGCAGAAAAGTGGAAGTGAACAAAACTAGGATTCTTAACCCAATGAGGATAGCAGTTAACTTCAAGGCCGTAAATAATATGTTTCGTCCCATGACAAAACCCTTTCCAAAATGGAGAAACCCCAGCAACAGCAGATGCTCAAATGTTTTACATACCACTAGTTCTAATGATTGTTGATGAAATTTTTCATCAATATACATGTTTAGTGTTATTTATATCAAACCACATTCCTACAAAGAAGACACTGGTATTTTCCAATGTATATATATGGGGAGCCTCTAAATGCACACCAAAAACTTGGTTGGACACACCAATTTTTCAAAAAAAAAATTATTTAATACTATTTTACCCCAAAATAAAATTACCAAAAGGGACAAACCCTATTTTTAATAGCACAACTAGTGCAGATAGGAATAAGTTGACACCATAAATCTCAGCCCAAATTAATAGCACAAGTGAGAAAAATACCCACTCCATTTTTTTCAATAATGCTAGGATAAGCACATTTATGTACCAAAAATTGTTTACCATCTCATGTGTCACCATTGTATTGCTCTAATTGGTCCCTTCACTCATGTCTGTTACCAATGCAGTAGTATGGTAAACAAAATATGGTTAGCAAATGTAGTCATCATGACATTGTTTTTCCCACCTGTGTACCCACTTTGCATACCATTAACTAATGGGTGCAAATCCCTACCAGTTAAAATGGTGAGGTACGTAAAGCTGGTATAAGTCAACGCATCATTAAGTCAATTCTAGTTACTCAAAATAAGTACAAAAAATTCACACAACATTGCCAATCAATAACTTATGTTTATCTAAATCTGGAGAAAAAATTTTGATAGACCTGGCTTCCATTCTAACTCTTCACTACGAATAAGATCCCCTCATACTTACACCCTTGTCCACGTGGGTCCTCCCAATTTGACTTCAGATTTAATGCAAAACAGAAAGAAAAAAGAGACGTCTCATCTCTAGGAACATTTTATAGATTTATCCCACAACTGTATAAGACCAACATAAACAAGGACCAGACACTAGGTAATCAGAAGTTATCCTATGGGTCAGGAAGACCGGTATTTTCCAATGTGTATATATGGGGAGCCTCTAAATGCACACCAAAAACTTGGTTGGACACACCAATTTTTCAAAAAAAAAAATTATTTAATACTATTTTACCCCAAAATAAAATTACCAAAAGGGACAAACCCTATTTTTAATAGCACAACTAGTGCAGATAGGAATAAGTTGACACCATAAATCTCAGCCCAAATTAATAGCACAAGTGAGAAAAATACCCACTCCATTTTTTTCAATAATGCTAGGATAAGCACATTTATGTACCAAAAATTGTTTACCATCTCATGTGTCACCATTGTATTGCTCTAATTGGTCCCTTCACTCATGTCTGTTACCAATGCAGTAGTATGGTAAACAAAATATGGTTAGCAAATGTAGTCATCATAACATTTTTTTTCCCTCCTGTGTACCCACTTTGCATACCATTAACTAATGGGTGCAAATCCCTACCAGTTAAAATGGTGAGGTACGTAAAGCTGGTATAAGTCAACGCATCATTAAGTCAATTCTAGTTACTCAAAAAAAGTACAAAAAATTCACACAACATTGCCAATCAATAACTTATGTTTATCTAAATCTGGGGAAAAAATTTTGATAGAGCAGGCTTCCATTCTACCTCTTCACTACGAATAAGATCCCCTCATACTTACACCCTTGTCCACGTGGGTCCTCCCAATTTGACTTCAGATTTAATGCAAAACAGAAAGAAAAAAGAGACGTCTCATCTCTAGGAACATTTTATAGATTTATCCCCCAATTGTAGAAGACCAACACAAACATTTTATAGATTTATCCCACAACCGTATAAGACCAACATAAACAAGGACCAAACACTAGGTAATCAGAAATTATCCTATGGGTCAGGAAGATCAAGTGTCCATGTGCCCATCCAATGAGATCATGCACCATTTCCTTGTTTCTAGTGCCATGTAATTCTTAGGCCACTGTTATTGGTTGGGCACACCACCAACCTTGAATTCCTCGAAGACGGGATAATTCCTCCTAGGTAACCGATAATATTTCCAAGTAACAAATTAACAAAGCCAACACTAGCCACCAAGCTCTAAAAAACAGCCAATCTGAGGGAGGTATATTCATAGAAACTTCAAGAAGACAAACATTTGGAGAAAAGCCATGCATGAAGCATTTATAAGCTTGCATGTTCAATTAAACAAGTTCCAACAGCAGCCATAGAGAAGCAGGCAATCAAACATAAAAATTCATGTTCACAAGGGCAATAAAACATTAAAATATTGCTTAGAAAACAGAAAGTCAACAGATCTAAGATTCTAAGAAATGGGCAAAAGTAATTAGGACGGAAAAGGACGATATGCCTACCAAGTAGAAAAGTGGTGATAAACATAATCGAAGTCGAAGAATAATGGTTAAATTATAGTAACTTATAGCAGATTGAACATCAAAGGTTGCATAGCTAAAACTGCAGCATTGTTTTTACGAAATAAAGCATAATCAACCAAATTGCCACAAATCATCTAATAATTCACATTGTAAACATCTCCAAAATCAACATAAAACTTAAAATTCACGTAGGTACCTCACAAATTTCATTGCCTCTCTGAAACTCATCCATCATAACACGCAATGTACTTGTCGACACGTTGTAACTAGAGTTCATGCAAGGATATCCAGGCTTTATGATCGGCATCAGATGCTGTCTGTCCCGAAAATTTTTTCTAGGATCCCAAACAGGAAGTCCCAGAGAACCTTCCTGAATAGGACATAGCATGACAGGGTTTGGCCACCTCCACAGATTATAGACCCTGAAGAACCTTGACACCAACATGCTAGGCAGTGCATTTGGGTAAAGCTGGCATATACGAGCAACGAGTAATGCCCCATTAATACCACCAAGAAACCCCATAACCTGGTTGCAACAGAAGCAAATGATTGGCATAGTAAATGCGACAACAGCGGTCACAACAGAGAAACATTCAGCATGAAAATAACTTCCTCACATTTGAATAAACACCACGTCTCTTTGCCCAGAATCTCATACATCTCAGCGTAGTACGAAAGTTCTGACAAGACAAACAATAAACATAATCAGCAACACATATATAAAAATAAAGTAAGAAAAAGGCAAATTTGTGCACAAATATATTAAATACAACCTGAATATTTGGCACCAAACGCAAAATTTGGTCTGTAACTCAGCATCCATTGAGGCTACGAACTGTCTGTTCATCTACATTCTGTAGTATTGAATCTGGTGAAACATGCAAGTCCTGCAATAGATGAACATGTTTGGAGATGCCTCAACCAAACTTAAAAAGTTTTTACAAGTTGACAGTCAGATTCCACAAGCCATAAAAGTATTAACTGAAGCCTGCCACGCTGCTAAGAATACTAAAGTAGGCTTTTAGTCAGATGATGATAATAAATACACACTTTTCCATAACACAACATATTTTAATAAAGAATGGCATACAAGCAAACAAGGGGGAAGAAAGATACTTCAAAATATTAAAAACTAAAATCAACACTTTCTCTTTTTTCAAGAGTAGGCCCTAAACAAAATGACATTAACGGCCCCATCGGTACAATACAAGTATTTAAGGATTTTGAAGGAAAAATACTCAAGAAAATCACTCACTTACAAGACTCAACAATACGCTTAAAAGTTAGCAACCCTAAAAACGAGAATTATGAAGGTATATATAGATGCACAGTGAATACGCAGAAAACATATGTTGGGTGCTCAATTGCCCAGCGGGTTTGCTCACTAGAATTTTTAACGACTCAAGTAAAAGATTGAGCGCTCAATCATTGAGTGAGACCTACTAGAGAATGAACCCCAAAAAAAATTCATAAAATTAATCAACACTAGCGCTACATCACCTACGGAAATCAACCAACTAGCAACTGCTAAGCAAGCATTGGTCTTTGCTTCTTGTTAAAAATACCAGTTTGAAAAAAAAAAAAGATACCCAAGGTTTAAAACAACTCTTAATACTTAGAAAACATTTCCAATGAGCTAACTTAGAACACATGAACCCTAGGATGCAATCTACATGAATACATGTATACCTGTCCGAGTAAAGGAACAATTGAACTTTGACGCTTGTGACAGCTGACAAACATCTTCAACAGAACACGCTTATAGTCATCTATCTAAACTACCATGCCCCATTACATTATAAGCCAGGACCCATTTTGTTACAGAGAAATAATCTAAAACCTATATCTTATTTCAAACTAGATGGCTTCCCCCACTGCAGCCCAAGTTTTTCACTAAACCTACCAAATGATTCTTCACAAAAAAATCTCCTCCCAACTTCCAGTTGTGGCGTAAACTATTCCACCAGAGAATATCAACACCACATAATATACCAATTGATAAATGGAATACATTTTTCCTTGTTTATAAAACTCCAATTATTAACAGTAATAACTAGTACTAGCTCTAAAAAATTAGGGGAACAAATCAAGCTGACAGGACTTTTTGGTTTCTATTTAAGATCTAAATATCGGAAGATGTAAGAATGCTACAGCTGGCACAAAGATTTATGAGCAGCAATTTTGAACTAATATTTATACTCTTTCATTTAGACATGAAAAGGATTGGTCACTTAAAAACAAAGTAAATTTTTACATCTTTGTATAATCTTTTTTTTTTTTTCAATACAAGTCATCAAGAATTAGATCTTTGTACTATCATCCAGGAAGATAATAGTGGTAACCTTTTACTTTTAGGATGCACACTTGCCCCCTACGCAAGCAACACTATCATAAAAAATGAAGGTCACTACAAAAGTTGAATACTTAAAACCATTTTATCCTGTTTTTCGTTAAATGTTTGTTAAACCACATTCAGAAAGTGAATACAAGGTAACCAAAATACTTACTTCAGGAATAGCCCAAAGTGCCACATTCGCATAGAGAAGATCTATAGACACACCACTGAATTTGAACTTCAATATTGGAACATAAGCATCAGGGACTGGATGTAATTCTTGTATTTCAGGCATCTCTGCCAGCATTTTGTATAATTCACCAAAGAAATCTTCCTGCATTGAGTTATAGAAAAAAAATTAGACTTGTCAATCTCCACTAGAGGAAAACTAAAAAGAAATGCAAATTGCTGCTCATGGAGGAGAAAGTTCTCATCATACATCTCGCGTGGCATGTCTTGGTCCAACACATAGTATGTCTATATCCGCACCAGGGCCGTGTACCTATTTGACAACCACACCCAGAGAAACTCAATTTAAAAAATTCAATATAACAACAAACAAGATTTATAATCTTAAGGCTAACTCTTAAGCAATCCTTAGCAAAATTTGTGTTCACATCATAACAAGCAAGGATATGGACACAAGACATGGTGATTTCATAAAAAATGGGGACACAGACACGATGGGGACATAGCAATAACATATTTTTTCATATATTTTTATTTTCTATATAGATTAATATTACATTCACAAACAATCAAAATTAACAAAAACTAACACTAATTCGATATTTAAAGAAAAATATATCAATTTCAAATTAACATTTATAATTTATATCTTTTTATGGATCATCTATTAAGTATTTAAACCTAAACAAAAAGTAAAAAATATTCGACATCTAACATTTATCAAAAGCACTATAAAAAATTGGGGGGGAGAGGGGAATTAGTTGTTGTGTTCCTAGCATGATCCCAGCATGTCCCAGACATGTTCACTAGAAAAAACTAATTAAATAAAGGGACACATCACGTGAAGTGTCCCATACGTGTCCCCATGGTGTCCCTGTGTCCAACACCCTTATGACATTTGTTTTGGAGTGTTGGTGCTTCATAGCTCACATCACATTATTATTATTATTATTATTATTATTATTATTATTATTATTATTATGTTAAATTTCTTAAGTGATGGTAATCTATCTCCTTTTGATTTTTTAGTTAATTAATATAGTTTGAATTGGTCGTTCATAATTTTCACCGCTCTTTGAGTTTACATTGGTGATAATTATTTTATATATGCAAATCTATGTTTCTCTAAAAGGTAGCCTTATTCATATGGCTAAATGTTGAGCCCCAAGTCAGCCAAACACAGTTGAACCACACTAAAAAAAATCCTCTCGAGTCAATCATATCAAGAGCGAGAAGATATTTGGCGGGAGGTTCTTTATTGAGAGCGGAAGCAATTTCTCCTGCTAATATTGTGCCCATCTGATATGGAGGGAGGGTATATGGGTGCCTATGTTGAATATTTAAAAGTGATAAAGAAGTTTAGAAATATATAAAAGTCAGTTTGGAGGCTGCGATTTTTTTCAACTACACCCAGTCTACCCCAACGAAGGGGCAATCACACAAACCCACACAGGAAAAAGCAGAAAAAAGAAGGGAGGGATGGAGGGAGGGAGGGAAGGAAGAAAAAAACTGCGAAAATGATTTTTTTCAACCTCGTGGTGTCCTACAGAGCACCCATTAAAGAGTATCTAATTGTGCAGATAGCACCAATGTTAATAATAAACCTATTGGAAATTTCAATTTATCCCTTTATTCTTTCAAAATGACTTATTCACATTTAATAATTTTGAGCTTTAGTCCAACATTGCCTTAAAATACATTTTACACCTTAGATACCAAATCTCATAATCCATAAGACCAAAGACAACTAATTTTGACCTAAGAAAATTACGGTAGCAGCCTTATACTAATCTTTTGTTAAAAAATATGCCAAACAATATTCACAAAAGATGATAAACTTAAGGAAATGTAGCTTTTAGATTTTTGTTTGAAATAGTTCATTATTTTTTTAAATTAACGTGAAATTGTTAGGTAATTGGTGTGAAACAGAGCATACATTGTGTGGATTACTTGAGGAATGGTAAAACCTCACTTTTGCCCTCCTATTTACAAAGCTTGTAATCAAACACATTCCAAAGTAACCTATGAACAAGTATCCATTCTCTCACTGCTTTCTTCATACAAAAACATTAAACATATTATTTACTTCTCTAATTGATTCCTAAATTATCTTGTAATTCTTTAGTTACTAGTGAATAAACATAAAAAGTAAACATAAACATCACCTTTTTTTTTAACATTTTATTTTAAATTTTATACTATTTTAACTTACGAATTATATAAGTTGCAATTTAATTTCCTTTTCTTCTTTGTTAAAAATCAATTAAAGTAAATTAACTTAATTTGGAGTTCGTATTAACTAAACAATCCATGTTTTTTAGTAGCTATAAAATTAAGTTGGAAGCATATAATATTAAACTTCAAACATTGTGTACTTGAGTAATAATTTCTTTTATTTTAATTTCATTAGTTAGTGGTGTTGAACATTAAAATATATGCAATCATTAAACACAATACACTAATTACTTGAGTATTATTATATGACTTTCACAAGAATTCATGAAAACATGTTTGAATTAACTGCTATGTATTATAATTTCTTCTGCAACATCTTCTTCTTTGGCTGTCAAAGACTGCACAGGGCCAACTTTCATGGTCCCACCAAAATCATGAACTTGATTAGTCAATCCTGCATCATTTTCAAGATCATCAAGTTCTTTCAAAGGACTACGATGACAGCTAACAAATGGTCCACTGGGTTGCTCCGTGTTAAGCTGCTTCTCCTCCCCTGCGCTTAATGAAACACTCGAAGAAGATGAAGGCCCAGCAGGTGGGCTGCATCTAACAGATCCTTCAACTTCCTGATCACGGCACGAGATATTCTCGCGACATCTTGCATTATTTGAGATGTTCTCTACATCAGCTTCAAATTGTTCGTTTGCCCTTGTTTCAACAGGCAAACCTGCATGATCAGTCTCCACTGCATGACATTGGGGTCCCCTTGAGTTAGTCCCCGAATCAACTTCATCCAATTTTATCTTCTTCCCATTCATTGCAGCATCTGGAGAACCAGAGCTACGCTTTCTTTTTGCAGTAGAAAGAGTTTCTCCAGCTACTTTTGTAGGTTGGCCGAATCCCACCTGGAAATACAAAAAGAGGAATGTCCTTACGTCTTACATGGCATACATGGATCAACATTCCGGGACTCCAGGAGTGGTCCACGTACACAGAGTGCTTAAATTCCTCCACAGTCAAACCTGATATCGACTTGTTCACCTTCCTCAGCATTGGTGCCTGCCTTCCGCCGCAGACCCATGAAATAACAATAATGAAACGGTCTGGATTTATCAGAAAATTCACCAGGGTGTGGGTGGCACTGAAGCATGCTATTTGTGTCCCTCTCAATCTGAATAATTGAATGCCAGCATGAGAATAGAGCTTCAAGAAAATTTTAGTGCTGACGACAAAATAAGAAAAGAGAAAGATGGTATCACCTTCAAAGTAAGCTGGCGAATCCGAGACTCAATCCAGCCTTTCCATTTCCTCAAGTTATCATCATTCTCAGCTGCTATATCTATCTGCAAATAATTTCCGTATGCTTCAAAAAATGGGAAAGGCTCAAACAGGGTCATCCATCCAGCCTTGTTCTTCTCCATCGACTGCAAGAATACATAAAATTATAGAAAAAAAATTACATAGCACAAATAAATAATAATCAGTCACAAAGAGAGAGAGAACAGTTATAGAGCTAGCTCACAGCAGAATGAAAAGAGTTTCAAAGCACTAAGTTGAGTAGTCAAAATCTCAATTGACATCAATCATGGCCTCAAAAGGGAATAACACTTTCAGAAGAAGACTTGGGTCAAATGTGGAAGTGAACAAAACTAGGATTCTTAACCCAATGAGGATTGGAAATTCAGAAGCTAACTTCAAGGCCGTGAATAATATGTTTCGTCCCATGACAAAAACCTTTCCAAAATGGAGAAACCCCAGCAACAGCAGATGCTCAAATGTTTTACAAACAACTAGTTCTAATGATTGTTGATGAAATTTTTCATCAATATACATGTTTAGTGTTATTTATATCCAAAAAAAAAAAAAAATGAAGGTCTCAATGATAAACTGCACAGAGAAGTGGCAATGTAAGGAGGCAAAATCAGAATGAGGTAGAACTTGAAAAAAAGTAGGCAAATTGAGATTTTCACATGGGCCCACTAAGGACATATCCAATCACATTTTAGTTAAATTTATTCCTATTCTATGATGATGACTATAACCT